GCCGCCCCCTGCCCCACCGCCGCCGCCGCCGCCGCCCGAGGGCATCGAGTAGTCGGGCAGTGGGTCCTCGGCGGGGCTGGCGGCGGCGGCGGGCAGGTGGCCGGGCCGGTCGGCGCCGCCCGCCGCTGCGTAGAGGCTCATGGCCTGCATGTTGCAGTGGTAGGTGCCTGCGGCGGAGCCGGCGGCCGCTTGGCCGCAGGGCGAGCCGTAGACGGAGCTGTGTCCCGGCGAGTACCCGCCGAGGGACAGCGCGGGCGGGATGCCGGTGCGCGGCGCGGCGGCGGCGGGGGCCAGGAGGCCGGCGCCCAGCTCGGCGGCGGCCTGAGGCGAGCCCCGCAGCGAGGTCATGATGTTGTCCACGCTGAAGCCCGGGCCGTGGTGGTGGGGCGGCGGCGGCGGGGGTGGCGGCGGCGGCGGCGGCGGGGGCTCGGGGGCCTCCAGGCTGAGGGAGCGGCTGGAGGGGAGGGTGCTGCGGGGACTGCCGCCGCTGGAGAGGCTGCTGCTGCTGTCGGGGCTCTCGATCTTGGGCACGGCGCCGAGCGGCGGCGCGGCGCCGGGGGGGGACACGGCCTGCGGCGGCGAGGCTGTGCCGTTCTCTGTCTTGATGTCCTGGATGCGGACGGGCGGCGGCGCGGCGCTGCCCCCGGCGGGGCCGCCCTCGGGCTCAGCGGCGGCGGCGGCGGGCGGCGGCGGGCGCGGCGGGGCATGGTCCTTGAGGTGCAGGCGGTCCTTCTCCTCCTTGTCCTTGACGGCGTCCTTCTTCTTGAACCGGCGGCGGCGGCGGAGGAAGCTGCCGTTCTCGAACATGTTGTAGGAGTCGGGGTCGAGGGTCCAGTAGCTGCCCTTGCCGGGCTTCTTGTCATCTCGGGGCACCTTGACGAAGCACTCGTTGAGGGAGAGGTTGTGGCGGATGCTGTTCTGCCAGCCCTGCTTGTTGTCCCGGTAGAAAGGGAACCGCTCCATGATGAACTGGTAGATCCCGTTCAAGGTGATCTTCTTATCGGGCGCGTTCTGGATGGCCATGGTGATGAGGGCGATGTAGCTGTAGGGCGGCTTCACCATATCCTTGGGCTGCGGCGGTGGCGTGTAGGGCCCGTAGGCTCGGGCCATGCCAGCCGGGTACTGCTCGTGGGCCGGGTGGGAGTACATGCTCATCGGGGCCGGCATGGCCGTGTAGCCCCCGCCGGCCGCCGCCGCCGCGGCGCGGTAGTAGCTCTGCTCTCCGCCGAGGTACGGCACCACTCCCAGGGAGTTGGGACTGGACACGGAGTAGCGAGCCTGCATGTCCTCCCGTCAGCTTTCCCCCACCCTCCCCGCCGGACCAAACAGCGCGTCCCTTCCCCCTCCACCCCTCCGCCGCTCCGCGGACCGAGCTGGACCGGGCGGCCGGGCAACCCCCACCCCCCCACCCCCCCGGCGGAGCGCGGTAAAAGGGAGAAAGAATAACGACGGCAGCGCCGAAAGTCTCCTCTTCTTCGCCCAGGAAAGCCCACCGGCGAGCTCCCGCGCTCCACGCGGAGGGGGAAAAAAAAAATCAAAAAAGGAGGGAAAAAAGGAGGGGGGAAAAAAATGGAAAAAATGTTTTAAAAAAGAAAACGGCGGAGGGGGAAAAAAAAGTAATCGCAGCGGAGAAAGCAACTTCCAAACGCAGAAAGAGTATTAAGAAAATAAAACCTTTGCAAAGAGGCTCCCACGGTCCCAGTTCCTTGTTCCACGGGGATCTGCAACAAGTTGTCTGCAAAGGAGGGACAAAAGTAGAGGGATGTGTTTTGTCGGCTTTTTTTAAGCGAGCAGAAGAAAAAAAAATCCACCTTCCCGATCTCCCAGTGCAAAGTCTCCCTCTCTCTCTCCCTCTCGGTTTTTTCAGTCTCTTTTTCAGTCGCAGGCTGCTTTGGGAAGCATCGGAAAAACTCCTGAACTTTTGAGCATCCGTCACCACGGCGAGAACTTTTTTACGCACTTACAGTTTTCTCCTTTTTTTTTTCCCTCCCTCTCCTCTCTCGGTCTCCTTTTTTTTTTTTTT